CCTGCGCGCTGCCGGACGCTGCAGGTCCCCAGGCTGGTCCGCTGGGAACCCGGAGCCCAGCGCGGCCAGGGCGAACCACTTCGCCAAGCCGGCTGAGGGGAGGAGCGCCGGAGGCCGCTGGGCTGGAGCCCCACCCACGGCTACTGTACCACCCCCGCAGAACTCTCAGTGGTCCGTTCCGCCTCCCCCTCGCCGGCTCCGCTTTCTCTTTCCCCGGGGCGCGGGGCGGCGCTCCGGCGCTACAGCGGCATCTGGTGGCCGCGCAGGGTGCTGCAGACAGGCGCAGGGTCGTCGGGTCCCAACCATCCAACCCTCGCCTGGGCGCGTCCGTCGCCAGCGTTCTCAGAAGAGCGCGGACAGTCCGGGAGATTCGGCCTCTTACCTGAGCAGACTCAAGGTTCTCTCACTTCTCGGCCCAGACTGTGGGACTTTGCAGGAAAAGTGGGACACGACCCGGTCCCCGGCGGCGCTACTACAAGACTCATGGGCCCTCGGCCTGGCCTTCTTCCCTGCCCAGATGGGCGAGGGCTGTTGTGCTCGCGGTGGTTTGGGGCGAATCGCGATCTGGTCCCGATGACCATTTTCAGTCCTGAACTGTTACCCACTCGCCCGACCTACCTCCAGCAACCCCTGTCTCCAGAGATCCTTGTAATACCAGGCACTTCCATCCGCTGGGCCCTTTGAAACAGGTGCAAGTGATTACCTGGATGGGGAGGGGGGGAGAGCAGAGTAAACCCAGTGACTCAGCAAAGGTTCATGCCTCTTGCCTTGGGGCCTTGGGGCACAGGCCCAGCAGGCTGTTGCAAGTTCATCCTTCTCATCCCTAAGACTATCGATTACTGGCCCAGAGGAGACCTGCCAGCTCTCCCTGCCAGACCCCAGGACTCTCAAAGGACAGCCTGTGGGGGTGACCTGAGTGCCACCACCGTAGGTCTGCGCTGGGGTCCAGGGATCCCAAGACACACCGGGGGAGAGGTTGCGCAGGGTCAGATACCTGCCAGCAGCCCCACCCTGCACACACCGGACCCCCTCGGGTGGCGGGGCTCTCCCCTGGCCACCAAGCCGGGGTTCCCTGGGGTGTCTGCTCCGCAGTCCCTGCTGGGGCTAGTGGCCTAGCCCTGTGCCTGTCTCTTTAAGCAGAGGCTCAGTTCTTTGCTTTTCCGAAAGGCGTTGCTTCTGGAAGGGTAGGATCTGTGTTTTCCAAGGTCCCTGGATCTCTGTGGATACCCCCAGGGATAGGGAGCTCATTGCCTGTCAGCGTCCCTGTCATGTCCCCTTTGCTTTGGCTCCACTCTGAGCCCTCTGTCCCCAGGGAGGGGCAGCCCCTCCTGCCTCCTGCTCCAGGCTGAACTTCTGTTGTCTGGGCTGCCCCTCATGCCACACATGTGCACGTGTACACACACATGTGCCCACACCATGGCTCTCCACAGGTGTGAGTACATGCAGAAATGCCTGCCTCCTGGCTGGACCTGAGGCCAGGAGGCCAAGGCATGGTCTGCCCCCTTGACCGCTACCCTAGACCAGTGCAACGTTGACCCAGGGCAGCTACCCAACACAGGTGCATGCCTGCAGCCTCACCCTGCCATCTTGCCACACCAGCCCACACAGTGGACATGTGCATTTTGGGGTGAGTCACTGGCCATTTACTGGGGAACCATAGGAAGTCCAGGTCAGGTGAGGGCTCTAGGCCAGACCAGAGAGCCGAGCTTCAGCCTAGCTTGGGGTGTCTGAGCCCATGGAACTGCATGGGTTGGAGAAGCTTGGGGCCCTCCCTAAGTTCCCCTGGCTGCTGTTGGGTTCCAGGTTTTTGGGGGGAAGTCGGCTGGGGTGCCACTCAGCAAAACAGTGAGAGCAGCAGAAACTGTGGGGCCTCACCTGCTCTGTGAGCTGCACGGGGCCTTGCAGCAGGCACTCCGGGGCATTTCCTGTCCAGCCCTTGGGCTCTGAGACCACACCTGAGCCCGTGTTCCTTGGTCACTGTCATGCTGCGCGTGAAGGCGCGGCTCTGGGAAGGGCACAGCAGGGTCAGGAGAGCACAAGCCTGGGCCTGCCCATCCAGCAGCCTGGAGACCCGTGAGCCTCAAGTCCACAGAACAGGGTGGTAACCCCCATGGTGGTGGCTCAGCTGCAGCTCAGGAGAGGAGCCCTGCAGTGCCTCAGCTTCCCCGGGTCACTTGGTGGGAGACTGAGCCAAGTGCTCTGAGAGGTTGCCCTCCAGGGCTCTTTTCTGGGTACACATCTGCCCAGGCTAGCCCCGGGGCAGATGTCCTTACCCAGGCCCACCAAGCACTGCCAGGCTTGCGTGACCGTGGGCTCATGGTGACCAGAGCCAGGCTGGGCATGGGAGGATCACTCACCTGGGGGTGGGGGTCGGGGGGTGGCCCAGACCCCATGGCTCTCCCAGGACTGGGGAGGGCCACCTGCCTCGAAGGGGCTCCTTGGGTGTCTCCCAGGACAGCCCTGCCTGGACTGCAGAACACTTTCTGTCTGCCTTGAGTCCTGGTTGCAGCTGGGTGACTCTGGGCTGAGAGGTAGGAGGGGTGCCCCACCATGGGCTCCCACTCCAGGCAGGGGTTGGGAGCAGGTTACAGGGAGCCAGGAGAGATAGGGAAGGGGGGAGATGGGTCCTCATGTCCACCTACCCACGGTCTGAGCACATCACCCTCAGAGACTGCCCTGCTCCCACTCCAAGGGCAGGGTTTACAGAGCGCGTGGGGCAGGTGAGAGCAGAACTGGGTGCCCCATCACAGCATTACCCAGTGTGGGGCAGGTGGCGGTAGGCAGGGAGCTTTAGAGATGCCCCATGCACTCGATGGGGACATTCCTGGGGTTGGACCCATCACTGCCCTTGAGGGGCCAGATAGGTCTGATGGCCCAGCTGAGAGTGTTCAAGGGACATCGTCAGACGACCTGGTCGGGGCTGGTGGGGGCCAAGAGCCTGGCCAGCAGGTCTGGGCGTCTAGTTACCCTTCTATAAGAAAAATGGAAATCCCCAAGCTGAAAGTGAATCAGAGCTGAGCTAAAAGGCTGCGAGGTTCATTCACATTTTAGTGACCCAAAGTAAGACCAAGCCTCCTTAAGCGACTGCATGGCCTTGCCCAGCCCGGCCACCTCCACTTGGAAGGAAGACAGGCTCTTCGCCTCAGTTCTGAAGACGCCCTGAAGACAGAAATGACTGGCTGTGAGCCCAGAGACCCCAGGATGAAAGGCACCAGGAACCTGACGGTCGCCCCTCCCAGGGTAGAAATAAAATGCTTAAGGTCCATCAAACAAGAGAGCCCAGAGCCAGCAAGTGGTATAGTGGTTAAGGTGTTGAGCTCCCACATGGCTGACCACGGTTCAAGTCCTGGACCTGGCAGCTTGGGAGGATCACTCACCTGGGGGTGGGGGTCGGGGGGTGGCCCAGACCCCATGGCTCTCCCAGGACTGGGGAGGGCCACCTGCCTCGAAGGGGCTCCTTGGGTGTCTCCCAGGACAGCCCTGCCTGGACTGCAGAACACTTTCTGTCTGCCTTGAGTCCTGGTTGCAGCTGGGTGACTCTGGGCTGAGAGGTAGGAGGGGTGCCCCACCATGGGCTCCCACTCCAGGCAGGGGTTGGGAGCAGGTTACAGGGAGCCAGGAGAGATAGGGAAGGGGGGAGATGGGTCCTCATGTCCACCTACCCACGGTCTGAGCACATCACCCTCAGAGACTGCCCTGCTCCCACTCCAAGGGCAGGGTTTACAGAGCGCGTGGGGCAGGTGAGAGCAGAACTGGGTGCCCCATCACAGCATTACCCAGTGTGGGGCAGGTGGCGGTAGGCAGGGAGCTTTAGAGATGCCCCATGCACTCGATGGGGACATTCCTGGGGTTGGACCCATCACTGCCCTTGAGGGGCCAGATAGGTCTGATGGCCCAGCTGAGAGTGTTCAAGGGACATCGTCAGACGACCTGGTCGGGGCTGGTGGGGGCCAAGAGCCTGGCCAGCAGGTCTGGGCGTCTAGTTACCCTTCTATAAGAAAAATGGAAATCCCCAAGCTGAAAGTGAATCAGAGCTGAGCTAAAAGGCTGCGAGGTTCATTCACATTTTAGTGACCCAAAGTAAGACCAAGCCTCCTTAAGCGACTGCATGGCCTTGCCCAGCCCGGCCACCTCCACTTGGAAGGAAGACAGGCTCTTCGCCTCAGTTCTGAAGACGCCCTGAAGACAGAAATGACTGGCTGTGAGCCCAGAGACCCCAGGATGAAAGGCACCAGGAACCTGACGGTCGCCCCTCCCAGGGTAGAAATAAAATGCTTAAGGTCCATCAAACAAGAGAGCCCAGAGCCAGCAAGTGGTATAGTGGTTAAGGTGTTGAGCTCCCACATGGCTGACCACGGTTCAAGTCCTGGACCTGGCAGCTTGAAAACTCATGCCAGTCGTGTGTGCATGTGTGTGCACAATGGAGAGGAGAGGAAGGGACTGTAGCCTGGTCGTCCCTGAGGGTCGTTCCTCACCAGATGAAAGCTACAGCCCTCCCTCAGGGCTGGCTGCGCTCACATCTGCCCTTCCCTCTTCTGGAAAAGTGACTAAGCCCCTTCGTCTGCTTACTCTCTGAGGTTGTGAGTTCTGTCACTGCCCAAGTTGGGTGCTGCGTTCCTGGGGAGCCCTCTTTTTCCTTTGGGGTCACAGTGCTCTCCTCCCTCACCTCCCCTGCCCGGGCTGCGCCTGTGGGGCGGCCCACCCTGGGCGCTTTCCTTGATAACCCCGTCTCGCTCTCCCTCCAGGGCTCGCTCCCGAATCCTTTCCTGTGCAAGGCCAGGCCCCAAATCCACCTCCATGGTTGAGCCTCCCAACAGCAAGTACAAAGTGTCCAGCCTGCATCTCTCACCACTCAGTGTCTGGGAAATGGTCCCCCAGGGAGCTCTCGGCCCTGCTTCTCCACCTGGGCAGGCTGAGTCACAGGCCACGCCCCGAGAGGATGGCGCGGAGTCCCCGTGGACAGGGAGAATCCTGGCGGATACCCCCATAGGGCACGTTGTAGAGAAGATCGAGGACAAGGATGGACACTGTCCCAGGGGCTGGGATGTGGGCGGGGACTTCGGCCTCCCAGTAGTTTCCACAGCTGAGATGATGAGGGGGGTGGAGCCTAGCCCTGCCTGGTAGAGACCCTCTGGACTCCTGCGCACTGGGCAGGGTCCCCACCCTGGGAGAGGTGGAGCCTGTCAGCCCTCTCTCCTCGATGACAAGGCTCCTGCCCTGTCCTGGGGTGAGGGGTGGGGACGGCCTTTCTCAGATCCTCAGTTTGTGGCTCCAGAGGTCCCCAGCGTTCCCAGCTGCAGGCTTGGCCCTGGCGTGTGCCTGGCTGGGCCACTTCCCCCAGGGCCTTCCTGCCCTCCTCCCCTCACCTGGCCCAAATGATCCAAATGCAGGGAAGGCCCGGGGGCCTGCGCACCCCAAGCCTGAGGACCCCGATGGGCTCGAGCCCTGGGTCTCAGAATCTTAGCCTCAGGAGAGGGTCCTCCAGCTAGGGTCTGTGACTGTGGCACCCCCGTGGGCTCTGATCAGGGGCGTGGCATGCTGTCGCTGCTGTTCTCCTTGGACTCCAGGCCTCCCAAAGGCCTTCCCTGGCCGCGCCAGCACCAGGACGCTCTGTCCTCGCTATCTCAGGTCTTGGCCTTCTGCTGATCTCTTTGTCCTGTTCAGTGGCTCCCACTACCCCGTAGGTTCCAGGCCCTGGGACGTCTAGGGTATCCAGGAGGGCTGGCGAGACCCAGCCAAGCCCAGTGATTGCTGCATCCCAGTGCCAGGAGCGGGCCAGGCTCATAGCAGGTGCACAGTGACTACGTGGGCAGGGCAGGCAGGGCAGCGGTGCTTCTCGCTAGGACAGATCTATAAGCTGGGCTGGCTGCAGCAGATGGCACCACGGCACTGCCAGAGGCCCAGGTCTGAGGTCACGGTTGGCCCCAGGTCCTGCACCAGAGCTCTGGTGGGGGTGACATACCACCCAGGGGCCCCCAGGTCTGTAGCTCCTCCCAGGAAACAAAGACCCAACCCCAGTCCCTGGACTCAGGCCCTGGGCCAAGCCAAATCTGTGTGCGGAAGGAACTTGCTTGAACCTTGGAGAAGGCAGGTGTCGGGGAGGCTGGAACCCCGAACTTCGGCCTGGAGGGGGCCAATCAGTGCTGGGCTCACGCAGGTGCTGCCTTCCTGATGTCACCAGGATGTCTGTCACCTGGGCCACCCACTGTTCCAGAGGGAGGTCTCCAACTGAGACCTCATAGGGTGAGATGCTGGGCGCCACGGAGGTCCTGGACCTCTGGCCTGGCTCACCCTCAGCACAACTCCACCTGCCATACTTTGCTCCCCACTGTCCCCCCAGAGTGCCAGGGCTCAGGGCACTGTGATGTGGACAAGGAACCCCTGCCCTCTCTAAGCCTCCGCAGTCCCCGAGAGCCCCAGAGGAGCCTCCCCGAGCAAGCTTCCTCGAGAAGCAGAAGAGCAAGGCTGGCCGTGTGTCCAGGCCTCCGTGCTCGGGTATTGGCATGGGCATGGGCCCCGCGGGGGACGGAGCCCTGGCAGGGGAAGGAGCACCAGGCTGGGGAGGCGCCAGGCACTGGGAACCCTCCTGCACCTTTGACTGCTCTACTGTGGGCTGGTCTTACGATGAACGAGGAGTCTGGGAAACAGAGGGGCCCACTTCAGGCCGAAGGACTGGCGGGAGCTCAGACGGTGGCAGTCCTCCCACCTGGCCCCTCTGTGGGTTTTCTGAGCTCAGGGGATCACCAGAGCTCAGAGAGGTTTGGCATCGTGCTTAAGGCTGCATAGCTTGTGCCAGGAGCCTTGGGAGATGCCTCCCCATTGCCTGCAGGGAAGGGCCCCTTCCCAGTGTCCCATTTTTTTCTGTAGCCCCCCTGGATGGGGGGATGTCCACAGCACAGACGTGGGCCCAGGTGGAGTCCAGAGAGCCCTGGACCCCATCCCGCCCGACCCTAGCCTGGGGGCGCATATGGACAGAAGTCTCTCTGACTCGCCTAGCAGGCTTTGTTTATTAAGGGCCTACTTGTGCTGGGGCTGCTGCGGGGACTTCCAGGAATATGGGGCCTGCAGGTCGCATCTCTCAGAGCCTGGGGACTTCGTGCCCTGTTCCCACCCTTGGTTCTACTGGATCCATTGCCTCAGCCTGTGCTGCCCCTGAATTTCTGTGCCTCTGTTCTGATGGGTGCAGAGTCACCATGCACCAGACCTGGCTTGGCTCTTGGGGTGCATGGCCAGGGAAGGCTTCCTGGAGGAAGAGGTGCCTGAGCAGGGGGTTAGGGGGTGGTTGGAATATCAGGCTGTGGAAACAGCTGCCCAAGCCAGGGGACTGGAGGGGCCATCTGCAGGCAGTTCTCAGCATGCTGGGTAGCGGGGCTGAGCAAGAGTCTTAGAGGAAACCATGGGGGGAACTTCAGCGACCAGGGCAGGGAGGCAGCCATGTTGGAGTGGGGGGATGCATGGCCAGGCCTGTGTTAGAACTTGCCTTCAGTGACCACGGTGGTGGGGCAATCATGCTGGGTGTGTGGGGAGCAGCCTGGAGCCAGCATGGGTGCGGGGCCTTCCTGAGCCTACAGTGGGCAGGAGCCCCTGAGCAGCAGGCCGCCAAGGACGCTGAGCAGCCCCAGGGTGGCCGTGGCTGGCTGCGGGGCCCGGGCCCCGTTGACGTTGCACAGGTCGGTGAAGCAGCAGGTGACGTTCTTCTCTCCCACATAGTAGTTCTGTGAGTCCGGCACGCAGCGAGCACTGCAGCCCTTGCTGAGGACAGTCAGGAGGCCGGCGGCACCTGGAGGCACGGGAAGTGGTGGCCAGGCCCGGATGCTGGATGCCCATCCACCACCCTTGTGCCTGCACTGACTACAACCCAACCCTGGGTGCTGGAGGGGCTTGGGAGGGGTCTGTGGGCCATTCCCAGCACGCTGGGCCGGTGGGGTGGGGCAAGAGTCCTAGGGGAAGCTGTGGGGGGCATGGCCAGACCTGAGTTAGGATTTGCCTTCAGCGACCAGGAGGGGCCCCAGCCTCACTGGGGTGTGTGGGGAGCTTCCTGAAGGTCACAGCTGGGTGAGGGCAGGAGTGTGGCCTCACCTCACCACTGTCCACTGAGCACCACTGGGGTGGGGGAGAGCGAGCACAGGGCTCAGCGGGTGGAGGGGTGGGTGACGGGAGAGTGGGTGGACGGGCAACCAGAAAGCTGAGTGTGGGTGTGGACACAGATGTCCATGTGGGCAGTGGTCAGAGGCTGAGTACTTCTGGGCAGAGACCTCCACACAGGCCTTGGATCCCTGGCAGCACGGGCACACATGCAGGGGTGCGGTACTCACGGATGCGCTCAGTCCGGCACTGGGTCTCGTCCTGGGAGCAGTTCTGCACGTGCAGGCAGTCCTGGCCGCTCACCTGGGCCTTGCAGGAGTAGCACTGCAGGGTGGCGCCTGCGGGCAGAGTGGGCTCAGTGCCTGCTAGCCCAGCCGCATTTCTCTTCTACCGTGCAGGTGTGCAGAGCGCGAGGTCTCAGTCCTCCTGGACTGCTGGGAACGCGGGGTGGCCAGCGCTCGGAGACTGGGACAGCCCTGTGACCCCGCTGTCAGCAGCTTCATACCCTGAGCTGAAGGCCTCACCTGGATCCTGCCCACCGGGGGTAGCGAAGCCTCCTCCAATTGCCCCTGCCTGCCACGGGAAGGGAGGCAGCCCCAAGCAGGGCTGCTGTCTCCTCCCAGAGGGCCAGCTATGCACAGAGGAGGCCGACAGATAGCCCCCTCTGACATCCTCTGTGGGTCCCAGGTGCCCCCAGCGCAGCTCAGCCCAGCCTGGCCTCTCAGCCATGGAGCTCGGCCGCCCTGGCCCATGGCGGTTCCTCCTCTGTCCCTGGGGTGGTGGGCCTGGCTACCAGGCCATCATCTCCTCCCTTCAAGATGCCTGCCAGGCTGGGCCCACATCATCCTGTGTTTGGTGCCCCCGACATCATCCTGTTTAGTCCCTGGTGGCCTTGGGGGTGGTTTTTGTGATTCCTGCTTTCAGGAAGAGGAAGCCGAGACTCTGGCAGGGTCCCTGGCCAGGAAGAGTGGAGTAGCACAGGCCAGCACACTCCTCTTGGGACCCTCCCTTGGGGTGCTTAGCACGAGGCCTTTTGTCCCTTTTGCTGTGCGTCAGCGTCTGTCCGTCCCTGTCCAGGGTGGTGAAAGAGGGTAGCCATGGGCTGCCCCATGCATCAAGGGCCACCCTTTAGAGGCCCCGGACCGGGAGGACCCTCGAGCCTGCCTCTCCCCAGGGGTGGAGAGAGAGGAAGTGGAGCTCCGTGGTCAGCAATCACTGTGCCCCATGCATCAAGGGCCACCCTGTAAGGGCCCTGGACCGGGAGGTCCCCCTCCTTCCCCCCTCTGTCCCTTCCACTGATGTCCCTCCTTCCTGAACCCTTCCCTTTACTGTCCCTCTGCCCCACTGCCCCTCCTCCCTTTGCCCCCCCGTGCTGGCCTGTGGAGGCCAAGGCCTCACCTGGATGTAGCACCAGGCTGGCGACCAGCAGGGCAAAGAGGACAGCTTTCATGGTCACAGACAGGCAGTGGTGGCCAGGCCTGGTGGTGGCTTTATATGAGTTCTGCTGGCCAGGGGTAGGCCAGCAGACTCCCTGGGGCCAGTGAGGGGCCGAGGGCTGGGCAGATCCCATCTCGGCTGCCAGCCAGCCTGCACCCTCCCTTCCCCTTTGCCCTTCTTTCTGCCACTCCCCACCATGGCCATGCCCAAGCCACCCCAGGACGAGGTCCTAAGATCCTCAGCCCCCGATGTGGCCTGCCCTATCTCCCAGGGTGAGGCCTGACAAGAGGGGCTCCGCCACTCCTTCAGCCTTTCAGTGGGGATGGGGGCGGGTGCCGCCCTCGGACCCTGTGCCCCTCGTAGGGGCAGCACATCCCCCCAGGCCTGCAGTCTAGGCTGTGTCCAGAGTAACACAGACAGACCCACACGACCACTGTGGACGAGGAGGGGGCTGCTAGAGCAGGGGCCCGGAGCGGAGGTTGCTCTGGGGACACCGTCCCTGGCCAGTGCGGAGCGCAGCAGCCACAAGCTCACTTACAGACACTTGGTGGTCGGGCCCTTGCCAAGGGAGTCACCCTCAGGGCCACCACCGGGACCCTTAGCTGCAAGGGAGACAGGCCACAGGAGGCTGGGCATTGGCCAAGTATCCCCGAGCCCCTCTCCACGAGCCAGAGCCAGCCGGGTCCCCTGGCCCTCAAACACTGACAGGTGTGTCATGTTTGTTTCTCTGATTTGGTGTGAGGCGATGGCTGTCGGGCAGCGGTTCCCAGATGGCAGTTCTGCCCACCCCCCCTCCGACACGTCCTGCTGGCTCCACCTGGGGAGTTATTGGCACCTGGAGTGGCCGGGCCAGGGCTGCCACGCCCTGCAGTGCAGGCCAGCTCTCGCCCTGAGTCACCCAGTCCTGAATGTCAGTGCTGCTGGGGAGCACACCTGCGCTGAGAGTGACCGAAAGGCCACAGCTCAGACTGAAAGCCACAGCCGGGACATCCTGAAGTCACACGTCTGACCACAGGCTGGACTCTGACCTCAGCCCTAGATGGAGCCCAGACTTCAGTCAGTCTAAACTGTGACCCTGGTCACCAAATATGCCCTGGTCGTGGTCACACCTGAGGTCTGAGTCTCCTCACTCACCGATCCCTGACCCTAGTCACATGCTGAGCCCTGACCCTGGTCGCACTCTGAGCTCTGACCCTGACCATGTATCGTTCCATGACCCTGGTCACTCACTGATGTCCAGCTCAGGTCATACTCTGAGCCCTGACCCTGGTCACACTCTGAACTCTGATCCTAGTCATTTACTGAGCCCCAACCCTGGTCACTCACTGAGCCCTGAGCCTGATCACACGCTGACCGTGGTCACTCACTGAGGTCTGGCCCTGGTCACAATCTGATGCCTGTCCTTGGTTCATGCCTACCTGAACCCAGATCCTCCAGCAGCCCCCTTCAGGCTGTCTGTCACAGAGGGTGGAACCATTGCAGCCATCCTGTGCAGGGGTCAGGTGTGGGTACAGCTTCGGCATGGCCGCCCTCCGCCCGGTACCCTGGTAGTCTGGATTTTCCTGTTCTCCAGGCTCTCCACTCACCCGGTCAACTGCCACGGTCAAACTGGTGGGGCTGCCTGGAGAGCCCGAGTCCACGTGGTGAAGGAGTTGCCTGGCTCCCTATGGCGGGGTCAGGCCCTGGGAGCACCATGGTGATGACCTCCACCACCTGGGCGCCGCCATGTCACCCCACACGCGGATGCTCATGGGCTTCGCATTAGTTCCTAAAATAAAGATGCGCGCACTGCAAAAACATACCGGGTTCAGATCTTTTCCTTGGAAAGTGCGTAACGTGTTTGGAGGGTGACCTGGGCGGGGTCAGGTCGCCGGGCAGAGCCAAGCCCCCACCTCAGTTCTGGAAATTAAGGTCATGTCATCTGAGCCTTGTGTGTGGGTGTGGTGGGACCGCAAAGGTGTGTTTGAAGTGTGGCCTCTGTGTACATTCCATATGTGAGAGGTGTCTGTGCATGTTTGTACAAGTACTTGTGTGTGTGACACATGTATGTGTGCGCTGCGACACTGAGTCCCTCAGAGCCCATATCCCACCTTGGCCAAGCACCTCCCACCTCTAGAATCCTGAGGCTCCACATGCCCCAAGAGGCATCTTCCCTGTTCTTGCCAAGGCGCCCTCAGTGGCCCCTCCTGCCAGCCTCTCTGCACCACCCAGATCTCCCATGCCCAGTTTTCCACCCACAGTCCCTCTGAGAGCCCCTCTGCCTCTACTGCCTCACCAAGCTGCCCTGCCCCTCTGCACCCCTCTTCCCATGCCCTCTCCCCCTCCTGAAGTGAGGTCAGTGACTGAGGAGACACTCCTCTGCATGCGGCCCCAAGTCCCACAAGCACCCTCAGACAGGGAGCCGGAGCCCCCTCTGTGTCCTGGGGGAGGGCTGCTTGGTGACCCCTCCACACCCAATGCTCCCAGAATCCTAGGGGGCACTACGGGACCAGCTCAGTCCCACCTGCAGGCAGAGACACAGCATGGATGCAGGCCCTGTGTGGGCTTGGAGGACAGCACAAGGCCAGGCTGGGCACAGCCTTGTGGCCCACTGAAAACCCTCGTTGTACTCCGAGCTGGGAGGGGTGATCTAGGAGAATGGCGACCCGCAGGCTGCAATGCTGAGTCAGATGGGGTTTAGTTGGGAAGGAGGCTCTCGGAGAGGCCCACATGTGGCCTGGGGCTCAGCCTTGTGAGTTGGGGGGATGGCTGGGGCCCTCAGTGGGACGCCAGGACACTGTCTTCTTTCTCTTCCTCCTTCCGATCTCTCCCCACCAGCACAGTTCTGAGAAGAGGCCACCACAGTCCATCCTCCAGTCTCCAGAGACTTGCAGATGTCCCACATGCCCTCGTCTCAAGATCTCCCCAAGCCTCAACCCATTAGCGTGTCAGCCTAGGTCCAAAGCTTGCTGAAGTCTCGCCAGTTCAGAAGTTCCACGCCACTTCATCTTGAGTGTCTGCGTTTCACATGGGTGAGACAAGCTGAGCAAGTGGTCCAGGAGGATGAACATTGAGCCTTGGGGGGGGGGGGGAAGGGGGGGGGGGGAATTCGCTTCCGGAAGAGGGGTGGGTG